TCAAAAATTAAAACATATGCGTGTTTATAAAAAATTAATATTCAACTTAAATTATCTTTCCGAAACCTATGAATGGTGGGAAAGGCGAAAAAAGGAAAATTTGGCACTCACGTTTGCAGAAAAAACTGGCTTCCAAAATCCTCTTCTCCGATTCTTCGCTTACTTTGGGATGTCCACTGAAGGGCTGATAGTTGGTTTTCCACAGTTGGGAACCGTTGGTTAGAATTCGCGCTTAAAACGTTAACACGTTAAAACCGTGAAAGTCTGCACGATAGTGACTAAAAGTCCAAGTCTATCACTCGAAGAAAACGATTTTCTCGAATTTACACAGTGTTCACAGCTCGCACGAATCCTACTGACTGCGCCAGTTTTAATTTTCTTTATAGAAAATTATTTTTTAAAAAATTAAGAACTACTTTTAATATGTCTTTATTGATCAAAGTCAAGCTAAAGAATAATGTATATATTTACATTTAATCCACACCTATGTTTATCTCTAGGAAAATTTATAAAAGTATGATAAGATAAAAGTTATTTACAGGAAGTATTTATTGTCTATATAGCAGTTTTAGCAACACGTAACTTTTATATTGTTTTTAATGCCTGGTGTACTGAGAAAATCGTAGTGGGATTTAGTCTTAGAATATAGATAGTCAGGAAGGAGAAATCCTAAACGACCTTGGAATCGCGATGGTATCTAATTTTGACAGTGAACTAGACGAATATGGCGACAAGTGTTTCCGGTCTACCAGTGACGTACTGTCATAAAGGGGCGTAGAAAAGAAAATAATAAATTCTCATTTGCATATTATTTAAATTTACCGATTTCTCTTATTTAAAGAATTGCTATTTTCTTGCGAGAAGTTTGCATTTCCTTTTATTAACCTTTATTATGAGAATAAATTTTACTTTAAAATTACATGTTGGGTGGGATAAATATAGGAAAATATTTTTGGGATAATTTATAGAGGGATTTCATTTGAAAAATCAAAGCAATAATGTATTAAAAAAATATATATTGACTTTTTTACGTCTTTATTAGGATAATGTTTTTATTAATCTATATTTTACAAATTTACACATTTTAAGGTTCGAAAAATAAATATGTTTTGTAGATATGCATTAAAAAAATTAAATATCCTATACTCATATTTAGGTCCAACACCGCTATGATTATTTTTTCTTAGAAGGTTTTGTTGGAGTACATATAAAACTTCCTAAAATCGAAGAGAATTTCTGATCATTTTATTTCATAATATTATTAGTAATATTTTTTGCAGGACAATTTTGCATACGCAGGTAAAACACCTTTTCAAGAAAGGATCCTTTAAAGTAATAATGATTCTATGAGTGCAAAATAGATTATTTTTAAATGTACATTCAACGCATTATTTGTATGCTTAGTCCAGTTATGATGAGAGTCAATTTGTACTCTAAGGTATTTGATATCCTTTGTAATACTTATATGAAACTACTAAACGTTACCTTTTATTGTTTCTATAGGAAGAGGCAATCTTTTTGTAACTGTATAATGAAACAACATAAGTTTTATCAAAGGTTTGTAAGTTTTTATAATTAAACCATTCAAAAAATTTTATAAGATCTATTTCAATTAATAATTTTAATTAATTCCAGTTCTCTGCATTTTACAGAATAACTGTGTCTTTTAATTTTGGATCTGGTAATCGAAAAATAATTGTTTTGGAGTGAGGGTAGTCATATGTGAGTAGTAGGGATTAAGTGTAAGGGGTTAAAGAAAAGGTCCTTTATTTCTCACAAGTCAATTTAATTGGCGACCGGTTTCGAAGCTGTCACTTCATCATCAGGCCTGATTTTTTATTTTTTGAATTAAGTTCTTCTAACGGTTTGGCAATCTTACTATAATCCTTAATGAAACTTCTAAAATGATTAGTAAGACCAGTGAAACACTGTAAAGATTTTAAATCAGTTGGTTTCTTCATATTTTGTACCTTTTCTACAGTTTCTTTTTTCATTCTTTTTATATTACCATCTATTTCTCTTCCTAAAAATATAACTTTTCTTACACAAAATATGCATTTTCTCAAATTTATTTTAAAATCGTTGTCATTCAATCTCTTTAAAATTCCAAGAGTGTTTGCCTGAAATGGATCCTCCACAAATGATGTCGTCGATGTATACTAAGATTTTTTTTCCCAATAAGTCTCCTAATACTTCTTGCATTATACTCTGGAATCTAGCGCTTGAATTTTTCCATCCAAAAGGTAATCTTTTAAATTCAAAATGCCCTTCTTCAGTTATAAAAGCTGTGTATTTCCTAGTATGTTCCGAAAGGATAATATTCCAAAATCCATCTCTTAAATCTATTTTAGAAAAATATTTACATCCGCCGAAAGTTTCGATAATATCATCAATCATGGGAAACGGGAAATGATCTAGGTGTGTTTCTTCGTTAATTTTCCTATGGTCTATGCAAAATCTATAAGTCCCATCAGCCTTCATCTGAAGTACACGAGGTGAGGCATACGGAGAATCAGATTTTGTAATAATGTCTCTTTCAATTAATTCTTTAATTTTTTCTTTAATCCAGTTCTTCTTTTCTATAGAATGTCTATATGGTTTTAATCTTACAATTTTTGCACATTCTTTTAAATCGAAATTTGTACTATAATTACTGGGGTTACTATCATTATAATTTAAAACATTTGGGAATGATTTTCTTATACTCTCTTCAGATATAAGATGTTTTACTTTAATATAAAAATCTCCAAATTATTTAGGGTTTTTCGACCTATTATCATGTCAAATAACATATCTTCAACAATAACAGGATTTATTTTTTTCGTTCCCATTTATATTTATCTGGATTCTTGACTCATAAGAGCATCTTGTTATTCCCGCTAGACTTCTGATACTGACATTTTTCTTAAATTTTGGAAATTTATACCTATCAACTACTTTTTCATTAATTATATCTAGTTCTGAACCAGTGTCTAACAAAGACTTTAGTTTTATATCATATACTAATACAGGTACAACATTTTCATTATTTTCTATTGACATATTAAAATTGTAAGAAAAATTCGAATAATTTTCAAAATACTGTATTTCTTTCTCATCAACATCATTGTTACTATTTCATTGCAGTAGTTTCTAGAAAAATTGTCCTTCAAACCTGCTCATCTTCTGTTCTTCTATTAGTGTCCCTTTTTCTACTGGCTTCCACGTGTGATTCTTTCTGAAATGTTTGAGTATTCTTTGGCAACCCGTTCTCCTGATAACCTGGAGCACTGCAGAATTTCTCAATCTTTAAATATTTTAAATTTTGTAGTAACTCCTGCTTCGAATTAATTTCTTTACCACTGAGCTGCCTTTGCATGGTTGTAGGAAGTCCCAAAATAACTAAAGCTATCAAAGATCTTTCAGAAATGGTATCATCTGCCCATTTAAGTAACCTTTGCTTTTCGAAAAAATATTCTAATATATTTCTATAATGATATTTTAATGCCAATGCCTTTTCCCATTTAACAATGTAATTTTCATCGAATGTTTCGATGAACTCCTTCTTCCATTCCTCCCACTGAAACTCATTCATTGCTGTGATCTGAACCTTCTCTTCATACCAACTTAGTGCTACGCCTGTTAGTTGACCTCTAAGGTGGAAGATCTTCTCAGCTGTTGAATTCCATTCATTCGAAAGACATGCAAACTCATATGAGTTCATCCAGGCCAGTGGATTATCGCCCAAACCATCAAACATCGGTATTTTCACCATCTCCGGTCTAGTTTTTATTGACAGCCACTTCGACATCATTTTGTCTAGTTCGTTCTTTCCAAAAATTATGTTCTGGTCTTTTTCTTTTTCACCTGCGGTCTCCTCATAGTCGATTCGGATAATGTTTTCACTTGACTGCGCCATTGTAATAAAATATGAAAGTATTAGCTCGAATAAACTTTATTAATATAGCTCTACAATATTATTTCAAATATCACTTATGTCAAACTTGACAATACTGTCCAAATCTCATCAAAATCAATCATACAGGATGATCTTCTACAACTGTGTCGTCTGAAAAACTTACTATATTTCCATTTGTATTTAAACAACAAATTATTTAAAACAAACTACGGTTATTTTAACCCCTTATCTAGAATTATGCGCCTTTGTAATAATTAATTATAACTGTGACATAATAGGAACCTGTTACAATAAATTTAAGAGACAACTCTGTTTGTCACGCCCTAGAATCAGTTTTTTTTTGTTTTTACACCCTTCAGATCTCCCGTGCTACACCCTAATCCGTCTATAGCCTGGCGACACTGCAGCCTGCGGCTTATTGTACCACCATTTGAAGGTCCTACTACTTTCTCATTCATTCAACAATTCACTCCCTGATTCATCATCATTCATTCCACGTCGTCGGTGGTAAACCGCTAGTCGGATGAGTCCCATAGTGACACGGCCCATGGTGAAACCTCCCAGCGGTCACTCATCCACGACGTGACCGGAGAAATCACTGCTTAACTGTTGCGAGTATGTGGATGCACACTAAGCTCGCAGCTAGCCTCTCTCCTCGGTTAGAACTGTGGGTTTATTTCAATTGTTTTTATAAATTTAATTTAATTTAAATTTGTTTTTTGGTTTAATTTAAATTTATTTTTAATTTTACCTTTCAATTGTTTTTTTTATGTTATTTTAGTTAGGTTAAGTTAATACTTTATTATTTTATAAATGTATATATTGTAAAAGGGTGTATGCCCGTTTAAATAAATAAATAAAGAGCCTCCTTTTCGTCTGCCGAGCCACACTGAAAATCTACCATTTTTATTTTAGGTTTATTGAAATAAAAATACAGTAATATTACAATAAAATATTTATTGCATTGGCAAAATTGAGTTGCATACAACGATAAAATACACAACAATCAATACATTAATAGAATTATTCTATTAACAATAAAATAGCGAAGAAAATCACACGACAGAGATAAAATAAATATGATAAAAATAATTCGTTAAACCTTTGTCATAGCATTGTCGTCAACTACAGTATGGTAATTAAAAATATTACAAAACAATAATAGTATAGATATATAAATTAATAATGCAAAATTATTATTTACTAAACAAATAATTTTTGGTTCAATTTCAAAAGTTCCATGATATGAACGATACATGATATTATATACATTGGCGGCGTGCTTAAATAAATAAATAAATAAACTTAATAAATACGTAGAGCCTCTTTTGGGTCCTAAAGGTAACTTCACTGGTGTTAGAAAATTAATGAGAATCTGTAAAAAATAAGTATTTATAATTAATTTCATCTAAGATGTCGATTTTATGTATTTACTATCGTTACAGAAGAACCGTGAGTATTAAATACGAAAGAAAATAAGTTTCTGATATAGAGAAGAAGAAAAAGTAGAAGTTGGCATAGATTGAATATATAGAATCCTACTATCAGTTAAGCAGCCTTTAAAGCACTGCAATGGCAAGAAGTATAATTCAAATTATCATTGGACTACCAACTGTCCCTATAGACCAGTGGCGCCCATACTTTTTTTTTATGAAGATCTACCAATCAAAAATCTATAAGGTCAAGTTGGTTAACTAGAACCTAGAGGTAACTGGGCCTTATACTTCTATTTAGTAATCCAATATTTTAAACTTCCCGCGCTTTGTAACATGACAGCTATCATCCCAAAGCTTAAATTACATCTAGTTTTTTTAAGTTCTTGCTGTGAATATCGTAACGAAAATATTCATGTTAAAGTATTTTTTTGGTAGAAGAATAACAACGTTGGGCACTGACGTATTAAAAAAATTGCAGTAAGTACAATAATACATTTTTTACAATGAAAATCGGCCTGGTATAAGAAAAAGCATCTATAGTGTAATTCATTTTTACATTTTAGGGTTATATTAATGAAAACAAGTTTGACTGTATAGGTTCCAGTTGCATTGGTAAATTCGATATAATGAGGCAACTGGAACTTAAATTTTCGGGTAACTGGATCTGTAGGTTTCAGTTAACCAATACAGTTGTATTGTAATTACCAGCGTCGTACCTAATAAGGGGCAGATAGTGAACGTTATTCCCGAAAAGCTCTTATTGATGCTGCAGAGGACGTTAAAAATAGTAATAAATCCATGTACGTCGCAGCAAAATTTTATAACACTACCAAGTCAACCTTACGACATTATATTAAAGGTACAAGAGGAACTGGTATTTTGGCTAAAGAACAACACGGAGGAGGAGGAAAAAATGCTTTGACTAAAGAAGCGGAAGAGCAACTAATATCTACATTAAATACAATGCAAAAGTGGGGATATGGGCTTTCACGGCAAGAGACGTTGGACTTAGTGCAGTTATATTTGAAGAATAGAAATTTAAATATTACAAAATTCAAAAATAATCGTCCCGGAGAACAATGGTTCTTGAATTTTTGTGAAATAAATAAGCTATCTTTTAAAAAAGCTCAAGGAGTAGAGGTGGCTAGAAAAGGCAAGAAAACCCTTGGACAACGTACGGTTTCTTTGATCTTCTGGAAGAAACAATTTTAAACTTAAAGTTACAGAATCGACCTGAACAAATATTCAATTGCGACGAAACATTCTTCTCCAGTGACCATTCAAAAACAAAAGTTCTTGGGGCAGTGGGTACAAAAGCTACAAATACTATATCTACATGCAGCATAGAAAATACTACAGTATTAGTATGTTGTTTAGCATCAGGCCAGAAATTGCCTTTTTTAACTATTTTTATTAGAAAAAATGTTATCGAGTCAATATTACCTGAAAAATCTGAACCAGTAAATAGAATTGCTATAGCCACTTCGGATAAGGGATGGATGACGACCATAATATTTGCGAATTGGTTTAGAAAATCAGAACAAGACAATTTTATAAATGAAACTGGATGAATAATAATATTATATTTGAATTTTCTCTTACATTGAAGAGCGCGTCACTCTAAACACACCAGTATTGATTTTAACACGTTCACTGTCCTAATGATATTTTTCCGCAGACCGTTACACGTCCTCACTTAAATTTGTATGCCCCATATGTGGTTCGCAGGAGTCTGTGATCATTTAGATGTACGACCTACGTTCTACGACCTATATGTAGGTCGTAAAATAAAACCTTGAATAGTTGGCAACTTTTCCTCCTAAAAGCACGGCCATTTCCGTAACAAAACATAAAGTAAGTCAAAGAGAGTTAGAAAATCTATCCGAAATAAGTTCTGCCACTGATTTTGATTCAGATGACAGTGTGGCAGACCCGCAATACGGAAATGAAGATGGCGATTCAAGTTCTAATGGAGAAACAGATGATAGTGACATTCAAGATGAAAGTAAACAAGAAACTAGTGAAGTTTCAGATGATGAAATGAATGAGGTTAATCCCGATTTCTGGTCGTCAACCATACTCTCGTTTTCAAGATTTACTTTTAGTACAGTAGGTGGAACAAATATTCAAATTACTCATAGATGGTTTTAGTTTATTTATAACTGACGATATTTTTGAGCTAATGGTTGAACAAACAAATAATTATGCTTTAGAACTTCAACGCAAAAAACGTTTAGTACGCTCAGCAAGAATTTCTAGATGAAACGATTCAGACATAGAAGAAATGAAAACAATTATTGGTGAGTAATTACAACTTTGATTTTTATAGTGATGTCTAAATATAATTTGATTGTTTGTTATAGGTATGCTTCTACTTATGGGACTTATAAACTTCCCTACTATAGAATGTTACTGATAAAATGACCCATTGTATTACCATGAACTTTTCCACCGACTTCCTATTAAGTATAACCGTTTTACATTGATGCTGAAATAATGGAATTTCGAAGACAAAACAATACCTCCAGAAGGCCGCTTGTCAAAAATTGCACACTTGTTGAATCTTGTTAGAAACAACCTAAAAAATGCGCATTCTGTTATTGATACAGTTGTTGTGGACGAAACCATGGTTCCTTTTAGAGTTCGTCTGAAGTTTCGTCAGTATAATCCATCAAAAGCCCATATATATGGTATCAAACTATTTAAAGTGTCTTCTCCACTTGGATACACTTGGGATCTGAAAAATTTGCAGTGGACAAAATGAAAGACGCCAAGTACTAGATCTTCCTGGTAGTACAGTTGTTAAACTAGTTGATCCTTTATTAAATGCCAGAAGATTGGTTATAACTGACAATTATTATACAAGCATTGAACTTGCCAAATACCTCTACGAGAGGAAAACAAATTTGATAGGAACCGTGAGAAAAAATAGAATAGGCCTGCCCAAAGATGTAGTCAACTGCAAACTAAAAAAAGGACAGATAATTGACAAACAAAATAATTTTATAACATTCTTCAAGTGGCACGATCAACGTGATGTCCATATGCTTTCCACGTGCCATGATTATCAAATGAAAGCTTATGAGAAAAAATAAAATGAAAAAAATAACAACGGAAAGCAGGAGGTAGACATCTCTGACCAATTATCTATTTATTACACTTGTCTTCGAAAGTCTTTGATTTGGTTCAAAAAATTGGCCATTACAATAATTTTTGGAACGCTCATTGTCAATACTTTTATTTTGTGTAATCCTGTGCGTCCAGTGAAAGATCAGTCATCAATGATAAAAATTAGAGAATCTCTTATTCGCAGCCTTCTCAAAACAAATGAAAAGATGAACAAGCAAGAAAAGCATGAGGAAAAAAAGCAAGAGGAGGGAGCCCATAAGCTAGAAGAGCTACCTAGAGGTAGTGATGATAAAATATATAGAAAACGCTGTCAAAAAGCATATAAATAAAACTAAGAAAGTCTCAACTTTTTACCGTTTGTGCAACCAAGCGATTTGTATTTCTTGCTACACAGAAAATCATTGATTTTCCCTCTATTTCCTTTGTATACACTTTTAATAAGAATATTTTTATTATTTTGTAACCCCATTTTTGAGATGCCGTATCTCGGTTATTTTTTGATAGAAGAAAATGTTTTTTTTACCAAAATGTAGTTTTTTTCCCTTTAGAGTCCTCTTAAAGAAATTCAATAATTTAGTGACACGTCCTTCTTAATATTAAGTTATAACAAAACATACATTTACGACCCAGATATGGTTCGCAGGACAGTGAACGTGTTAAGCGTAGATTATATTTTGACAGTATGAAATAAACCTGGTGTTACTTCGACCGCAATCACCAGCAAATGTTAAAGCAATCTGTTAAACCACTATACCGAGTCGTTTTTTCAACAAAACCGTACTGAGATTATTTTTCTTGATTGTGAAAAACCGACCCAATATCCAGTGGATTATAAAGACTTTTTGGCGACCACCATAGGCTTCACCGTCCGGGACTACTACTCTGGAACCTGGCAAAATATAAGAATTCTTAAAAGGGTGTCCAGATGTGAAAAAAACGAGAAAGCTGACCTAACAGAGGAACTGAAGACACTTAAGCTGGAACTGAACACTCATGTGATGCTTTGTCAACATAATAAACAAAAAGCAAGCTGAGATGCAAGTCAAGACGCAGTTCAGTGACTGGAGGTGAGATGAGTCAATATGAGTTAGAAACGAGCATAAGAGTGAATGTTCTCACGTGGTGTCAGTTAGTTCGTGAGGTGCGAATATTTGAGCTCTGGCCACAGTTCTCACTAATGACTACGTAGTAGATTAGATTAAATTAGATTAAGAGTTAGACGTTATTTGTCCTTGTCCACCGCGATCTTTTCAGATCTATTGTCGGACTCCGTTTGTTTTAGAGTATGTCGTCTAGACTGGTCTTTTTTATTAGACTTAGTAGCATGTAGTTGCATGCATTTGCCTTTTCTTCGCCCAATGTTAGAAACCTCATTCCAGCCAGGCCTTCGCTTTGGCACAGGGCGTGGAATGATGTTTCTTCTTCTTCTTCACAGAACCTGCACAAAGTTGCTTCTTTTGCTGGATTTATAACACTCATGTGCCTTTTAAGGCGACAGTGTCCAGTAAGAAGGCCTACGTTATCCTAAAGATTTGACGCTTTTGATCCAGTAGGTCTTTCGTGAACTTGGCCGATGGTTCCTTGATGAACTGTTTGGCCTGTCTCAGTCTTGGATAGTTGTTTCACCATTCCTGAGACTCTTTTTGCATCCATTGTTTAATGTTTAAGTTAAAGAGCGATGATACTCCTAAGACAATCCTCTTATTAAAACAGACAGGAACAAATACAAAACCATTTTAAAACAAAATATATCACGTACCAAAGCTAAAATGGGACCCAAAAACCCACTTTCTCTAAAAAGCAATCTCGAAGAAGTATATGAGGCAATACTTGAGGTATATGAATCAATGATACAACTAAAATTACCCCTATGTGAGATAGCTTTTAAGTTTTATTTGTCTCATCAAAGATGGCCTTATTTGAGGGGTTGAAATACCATGGAGTTCATATGAATTAAGCTGCACCCATTCAAACAAATAGAAGTAATTGATGAAACGTCATTTGTCAAACTTACGTTTATGAAGTGCGGAAGCTCTATAATAGAGCCAAGTAGAGTGGAGATTGGCAGAGGTACACCGAGGCACAACAAAAAAAACTGGAAAGTTATATGTAATAGCCTTAAAACATTTTTCGATAAGATTATTTCTATACCTGCCGCAGCAAGACTGCGCAAAAGACTCTGGAAAAAGGGAAAGTTGATACAGTTATGATGTTACAAAACCAAAATGGAAGCTTCACGAAAAGTGAGGAAAAAAGATCTCGCCTTTTAGTCGAAACTTAATTTCCTGGAACCACATCTTGTCTAATAAGGGACACAAAGTAAGCACACCCTTAAGAGATACCGCCGTAATGGTCATGTACAATTGCATACAGAGGAGTAGATAGCACCACATACATCTAAAAGAATGGGACTGCTATCTACAAAACTACAGAAACAGGAAACCATCCTCATCTGCACAACCAGAGGATGTCCTTACTAATGTGGAGCCTAAGCGTAGACAAACGTCTTGCATATTGACTAAATATGTAGCACTCTAGAATTTAAGGTACTATTGTACAGATGAAAACAAAAGTCCTTTTAACATACAGTGCAATGGCAGAAATTGACTTAAAACAGAAATAGCACTTAAGGAGACGATATACAAAATCCGAAGGCTCACGATTAGGGATATTTTTGAATGAATATTAAACTGATTGCCAGAGACTTGGTTTTAAACACCACCTTCTTTTAGATATGTAGTATCCTACAAATTCTACAATTCAATAAACACAAGGATTATAGAGAAAACAAAACATTCTTCTTCAAATTGATAAAATTAAATAAAGAGGAGAATGAAAATAGTAGAATAACCATAATTTGTAGATAATTAGTTCAATAAATGCCAAAATGTGATTCCAGTATGAAAATGTATTACAAGTGTGGTTTTAGTATGTAGGAGACATTCAAGAGTAACATATGTATGGATAAGGATTTCCAAACTTCCAACAAAATTTAATTTGGCCCATTTGAAGAGGGCTGGACTACTAGTCATGTAGTCGTTAAAATTTTTATATATATTACGATTGGTATCATCAATTTAAATAAATATCAGAATGATAAATCCATCTGCGGCTAATTGATTGTATGCCAACTAATATTTTAAGAAAACGAAGTTAGATTACTAAGAATAGAAGAAAAAAAGTAAAACAAGAATACAAGTTACCTTACCATTTTAATACCGATATCCATTTCCACCACCGCCACCTCCATTGCCACTGGGATACCCGCCGCCGCCTCCTCCACCACCTCCGTTTCCTCCGCCACCTCCACCGCCTCCTCCAGCGGCTTCTTCTGCAGCGTTTTGATCTAGAGCTTTTTGAATTTCTGGTGGGATTGGTGGTGGTGTAGGAAGGTGGTCTCCCACGGGTACGAAACCATTTTCGTCGGCGGTATATTCGACTTTGATTTCAGTACCGTCGGGAGCGGTATACGAGTAAGAACCTACCGCCGATTGTATACCTTCTTCGCCACCTGGTTTGAGTTCGCCTTCTTCTTGAGCTTTGATGCCATTACCGGTTTCATAGCTAAAAATATAGTAGTAATTATTATTGTTTAGGTACACATGATGCAGAAATTGTATGGAAAATAGAGCAACAAAATGTAAGGCTACATGGTTAAATTTATATCCTGTTCAAAGAAATAATAATAATAATAATAATAATAATAAGATCAATAAAACAAAAATAAGAAAAAAGCCGCATCTTAGTCTTTAAAAAGAACGTAAATTCCTGAAAACAATGATTTTTAGTGCATTTGTTACATTTATAATTGTTTATTTTCATATTAATATCACTTTTTGTATTAATAATAAAAGTAGCCTATATGAGGTGTGAATCTAATAATTTTTTACCTCCATTTGTAACTTCCATCTCCATTGTTGACGTTTTCATATGATATTATGGGGATTTCAGCTCCTCCACCACCACCGCCTCCTCCGCCGCCACCTCCTCCTCCGCCTCCACCACCGCCTGGTCGGCCGCCTCCACTTCCTGTAAACAAAAATGTAAAATTTTGTTATACAAATTAAAAAAAATGCTTTTATTTTACAACGATTGATCTGAAATACAATTGAGTCAATTGCAAGTATAACAGATCGTACTCAAACAGTTTACTGTAGCTCTTTAATAACTTTATTTATGGATGAAATGTGTACGAACTGTCAAAGTCACGTAACAGTAATGTTATACCATTTACTAATGTATAAGGTAATCAAAAAGTAAGGAAAATACCTTAAATTCTTATGAAAGGTATCCCAAAAAGTTTTATAAAAATTGGACAAAAAAGTTTATAAGTATCTTACATTTCATTAAAAAAATATTCTTTATAAGAAGTCTGCAACACTTAAAAATCCATAATAAGGAATTACATTTGTAAAATATTAGGTGAAAACAGGGAAAATATAAAAAACGATAATGAAGAATTTCAATAGATATCTTATGCAAAACAAAATTATATACCTAAGTACAGTATTTTATATGCGGTAGGTAAAAATTCTATCAATTCAAATTAAATAAAGGCGCAAAGGGAGTATTTCTTTAATGTCAAAAGAAAGCTACGGGAATATTTAGATAAGGGTGACAACAAAACTATTAAATAAATTAATGGTATTCCAACAATTGTATGCAGCAATACATCTACTCAAAAGAAACAAAAAAAACTAGTAATTGGTTCTAATAAATTATTTAAAAGTGATATAATTTATATGAATATACAGAGTTTTTTAGCACACCGAGATGAAGTTATAGTTGAAAATATTTTGTTATCAACCATGTATAGTTATATTTAGTAAGGCAAGATGTACAGATGCTATTCAAGAGGTGGAAATTGTAATTAATAGATACGTATGTGTAAGATGTAACTTTTCAAATCGACATACCAAGGGAATATTTATTTATATACAAAACAGCATGTTTAAAAAGTTTTGTTTATATTTGTTTTATCAGTGTAGATGCAATTTGATTGTTCTTTGTGACATAATATAATAAATGACAATTATTAACAAGTATTAGAAATTAAAAATTTTAAAAACTGAAAAACGTGCAGATGTTATCACCACATCTTAACCAAATTTATATGGGACCACCTCTGAGGTACCCCCTTACTAACAAAAAAAGAATCATATAAATCGAACAAGGTAGTAAAGCATTATCGCTAAACATACAAAAAATGAAGAGTTTGAGGATTTTTTCATGGACCCAATTATTAGATTTTGACCAAATTTATATGAGACCACCCATGAAGTACCCTCTTTCTAACAAAAAAAGAATCATTGAAATCGGACACTGTGTTAAAGAATTATTGCTGAACATACATGAAAAAAATATCGCGACAAATTGATAACCTCCTCCTTTTTTGAAGTCGGTTAAAAAGAATGTCGTCAAGTTAAGATTTAAAATAAAAAGAATTATACAGTCCACTTACAATTATTAACTATTTGAACCAGCCGTTTACAGTTTAAACAAAATTTGCTCCAATCGAACCGGATTTCAAGAATTTCTATTTTCAATTTTCGACAACAAAATTAAGAAGTCATATCGATCAGCATAAAATATATAAGTATTATATATTGAGACTATTGAGATGGGCGAATAGATGGTTGCAAAACGTTCAATTTAAATCTATTTTCCTTTATCATTTTAGAAGGTACAGTTCATCAAATTTCTAGAGGTGTTCGACGCCCAGACAGAGAACGCGCTACGTGTGACTAAGATAGCTATTGTACAGTCTGCTAAACAAGTTATTTTAAATAGTTTTTAATATTTTTAGGTACCTAATTAAATTTTAAAAGTGTGGAATAGTTTAGGGATTAAATTGATCTGATTGGACTTTCTTAGAACGTTTTTAAAAGCAGCTAAAGATAGTATGTAGAATTGAAAATAATTATTATGCCATAAAAGGTGTTTTGGAATTCCTTCAACCTTTTGAAATTGAGTCAGAAAATATAAATTTTATAGGATAGCGGAAAATACCTATAATTTTTTTGTAGGCCTTTGTAAATCGTGGAAATAGTTTATATTTTATTTCTACCTTATTAAGGAAAATGGTACCTATTATTAATAACGGTTGTTTCTGAAACATTACTAAAATTTTCGAAATTTTGTTTTTCTACAAAATAATAAACTATACTATTTAGAAAAAAATTTATTTCTCTTATAATTTTATAAAAAATAACAGGGGAATATTTACATTTCTTGATCTATTAAACAAAACGATAAATTATCTCGACGAATGACACCATGTTCTAGTACGGAAGCTAGCTTTACATTTTTGTTGGTGGTTTCATGGGTTTCATATCAATTTTTTGTAATTGTAGTTTACACGTACATATACCTCTTAACACTTGTTTGCTTTATTAAAAAATGGTGTTGTTGTGATTTACGTCGAAATAAGTCAAAAACAACTTGAAACCCTATATAAAATCAAAAAGGAGAAACGGAAGAACAACTCAGAAACAAAAATAGCTATCTAATAATAAAAAAATAAAATTTGATTCTTGTGCATCTTCGTTGTAAAAATAGATAATACTTTTTTGATCTAATCAGATATAATTTTAATGGTCTTCCGAAAAACTTTCTTCAGTTTCCATATCAGATTCAAAATCAGTCTCACTGTCACTGTTTAAGTTAATTATAAATCTATCAGTTGCCTCGTCCAAAGTAACTTCTCTGTCATAAAATTTAGATTCCCACATTTTAGCATTATTACAACGAGATTGCCACTCCTCTTTAGAAAACGTATCAAAAAAGTCTTCACACAACAGTTGTACGTCTTGCCTCTTAAATGTAGTGTTGTTACTAGCTACATATTGTTTCAATGATGCCCACACTAATTCGATCGGATTAAGATCGGGATGATACGGTGGCAAACGCAAACAACTAAAACCATGTTCATTTATCATTTCTTCAATTGCATACCTCTTAAATCGTGACTTATGCAATAGCACTAAACTGTATAATTGCGTTTTGAGCATATCCTCTTCGTAAGCAATATTATGATTCCTTAACCAATCCTGCATGTCAGCTTTTTTAGAAGTTGACGTTGGTGCTTTATTTACCTGGACATTATGGTAAGGAGCATTATCAAGAATAATGACGCTTCTTGGAGGGAGGTTCGGAAACAGCTTTTCTTTCAACCATTTAGAAAAATTATTAAAAATCATTTCATCGTGGTAGTCTCCACTTTTGGTTCCAGATTTGAAAATTAACCGGGCATTCGGAATAAAGCCCATTTCACCTCCTGCATGGACAATAATTAGTCTATCACCTTTATTAATTGGTTTCTTTAATCCCTCATTTGAATTATCACTCCAAGCTTTCTGGTGTGTGTGGGAGGCATGAATGTATGTTTCATCTAAGTAGACAATTGGACGGCCCTCTGCTCGATAACTTTTTAAACGAATCAGATAGTCTAAACGTAGCTTTTGAATATCAAACCTTTCCATTAATATTTTTCTGTTTGTTTTTGTTTTCCGCCAACGAAATCCTAGCGACTTTATTATTTTTCTTAAACTTTCATAGCTTCCTTTGTACCCTGTAGCTTCTCTAAATTTAGTCAGAATTGTTTTTAATGTTGGAACAATATTTTCCGAGATTAACATGAACAGAATAATTCTTTTTAAAATACCTTTGTCAGCTTCATCTATATCATTAACTGTTTTTGGTTTTTTAATGGTTTTTCTTGGTGATGAAAATTCCGATATCTCACGGTTATCGATTCTTTTTTTCTCTCCAGAAATGCGGACGACAGTGTTTTTAGATACTCCTGTGGCTGCAGCAACACGATCATTTACATTTTTAAATGGTATTGAAGGTGAATTAAAGTTTCCTTCTCTTCTCATAAACTCTATAACATTGGCTGTTATTTCGCGAGATTAACTGTTAATCACGCGGCCTCTTAATTTGCTATTAAACTCCATACTTAGGTTCTATTAAACTGTAATGAGAAAAAAACACAAACGAAAATAAAAGAAATGTTTTAGCGAAATTTACATCTGACATTTACGTCTAAATAAAATAGTGAAATACTTGATGCGCAGAGTGTACTTTCATTGCGTAAATCCGTCGGCCCCGCCAACCGATGCCTCTCAGTAGTGCTTTCTCTGTCTAGCCGTCGAAAGCCTCTAGAAATTTGATAAACTGTAAATTTCTCCATTAGTATATAAAGACCATTATTTTTTCGCTATTAAACTATTCTCATGTAAGGTAAATTTATGCTTGCCATGTAAATATTCTATTGAATATACAGGGTGTTCCATCTCAGACGAGCCACCCCGTATATTTCTTATCCCATAGTAATTGGAAAAATTTCCCGAAACACGTCGGATGATTTTCTTTGGGAGACATATTTTGACGTATATTTGAGAGTTGAACGAGCAACCCCCTAGGAGGGGGCGCTTCAATCCCTCAAAATTGAATAGGGAAGAGGGGTTGAGTGATACTTCATTTGTAAGGTCTTGGAAGCCTCTTTACAACGGTGTATGAAAAAAGTGACATTCTTAAAAATCTAATTTAATTACAGAAATGTTTTGTAAAAAGTTAAACCTTAATTATAGTACCCCATCCAATTTATCAATTATGGAGATAAACCAGATAGTTTGTCAACTCAATAAAAGGTGCGACTTGTCAATCTTTTCAAGCACATCCAATTATAATTGTACAATTTCTTGCTTTATTTGTCCTGCTATAACTAGCAATATATCAATGATGTTGAAAGATGGAATATACCTAAAGGTCTTTAATTAGCAGACTCAAATTTTTATATTTCTAGGGAGATAGACCTATTAATAGGTGCTAGTCTATTTTGGGACTTAATATTAGACGGCAAAGTACAATTATTTTCTAATAATCTTCCCAGTCTACAAAATACTCTGTTCGATTATATTGTTTGTGGAGTATTACCTTTCTCAAGTCAATTAACATCCACATTTAATGTCAGCTGATGTATCGAAAATGTATCATATCGAAAATTCATCCGAAAGATGAGTTTTCAACGTATCAGTTAAATATCGTTTGTTACGGTACACAGCAATTAAATGTATGCAACAATTAGCTACTGAACATTTTAAAACATATCCTGAAGCATGTCAAACTATTTATGAAGACTCTTACGTCCATGATCTTCAAATAAAATGTCAAGAAATTAATTCAATTTTATAGTCAGGGAATTTTATTTTAAAAAAGTGGATTTCCAATGATCTTCAAGTTATATTTGATATAAATTACTCTTATATTTCCAATTTTGTATTAGATATTGGAAAACATTCAGGTAGTAAAGCTTAAAACACACAAGCTTAATAATGCATCATGAGAATTTGGGATACCAAAAGGTACTCTAAGCAAAAAAGTTAGAGAGCTTACCCATATTGCCCGGAAAATGGGCCCACGAACTATGCTTAGCGCCGAAATTGAAAAGAAAATTGCAGACTGATTAATATCAAAAGCTAAGGTTGGATTTCCTATTCATCCAGAAAGTGTTTTTGACTCTGTTCAAAAGATATTGGTGGATTCTACCCCATTTAACGAAAGCAAACCAGGTAAAAAATGGTTTCAGCTTTTCATGCAACGGCACCCTCATATCGTTAAAAGAAATGCTGAAATAATTTCAAAGACTAGGGCATCTGTTACAGAGAAAGCCTTGAGAAATTGGTTTTCTGAACCAGGTAAAAAATGGTTTCAGCTTTTCATGCAACGGCACCCTCATATCGTTAAAAGAGATGCTGAAATAATTTCAAAGACTAGGGCATCTGTTACAGAGAAAGCCTTGAGAAATTGGTTTTCTGAAGTTCAACAATTTTGTGTCAATGAAAACTGTGAAGACGTTCTACTAGAATCTATCAGGTTATATAATGCTGATAAAATGGACGTTCAGCTTTGTCCAAAATCTGGGAAACTGTTAGGTCCCAAATCTTACAGGAACTTTTATGAAATATCCTCGGGACCTGAAAACCAATCAATTACAGTTTTGTGCAATTATTCAGCATCAGCTCAAGTAGTTCCACCAATGATAGTGTTGCCATATAAAAGAATTCCTAGAGATATTGCAGACTCTTTCCCGGGCGAATATTTTAGTGGACGTTCCGATTCTGGCTGGGTGACGTCCGATGTCTTTTTTGAGTATATTGCAAATTGCTTTTATCCATGGCTTTTAGAGAAAAATGTTACCTTTCCCAATAATTTTATTTATTGATGGACATAAGTCTCAGCTAGATTTGGCTCTATCTAATTTCTGTTCTGAGAAGCAAATTATTTTGTACTGTCTATATCCAAATGCCACCCACATTTTACAATCATGTGATGTGGCGATATTTAAACCAGTGAAAACTGAGTGGAGAAAAGTTGTTAGAAAATATAAACAAGAAACCAAAAAATACATCACAAAAGTAAAGTTCGCGTCACTTTTTAAAGCAACACATGATCAATTATCTACAGAAACTATTAAAAATGGATTCAAACGTTGTGGCTTATTTCCATTTGATCCAAACGCCGTGGAATACGAAAAATGCATTTCTTAATAAACTTAATAAACTTAATAAACAAAAAGGTGAAGCCATAGATCGCGAAGATATTCAAGCAACTTTAAAAGTTCTTAACATATACGATCAAAAGAATAATTTCAAAAGTTTCAAATCTTCAAATCAGTTGTATGAGAATAGTCTTTATAAGTTTTGGAATTTTTGTAATGATCATGCCCAGGAAAGAATAGATAGAAGCGAAAGTTTTAATAACTTAGTTTTTACAGAAGATGATCTTGTTTTAATGCCAGTGGAATTCGATGATATTGCTATTTCCGATGAAGTAGTATTGTTGGATGACGGAGCTGGTGGTTCATTTTTAGTAAATGACAATACGACAATAGCAACAACAGAAAGCACTGAAACTGTAGGAATGACAAACGATTTAAACATACAAAAGTATGAGTGAACCGAAAGACAATATCAATGCAAAAATCGATTCAAAACATCTAATTTTAAATAGAGCTTTCGACTGAAACCACTCAGATGACCGATGTGAGAATAATGATATTGATAGCAAAGGAACTGATGAATCAGTATTAAATCAAAATGATATCAAAATCAAAGACGATAGGTTAATGGAACATAACGAAGGCAGACATTCGCAGGAAGCCTTTAGAGTAAAGGAAGTGTGTCAAATCAGAACCAAAGAAATATCTGAGATAAGTGATAATGTGATATTAGATAATAGCGATAAACTTGTAAAGACTGAAGAACATGCTAAAGATAACAATTCCGTTGTGACGCAAAAGACTGACGAATCACTAAACACTAAAGTTGACAACAAATTAGATAGTGGCATAAAAGAAAACTCGAAAGAAAACATTGAAGTAAAGAATACGAAAACTAATATCTTAACTGATGTTTGCATAAATCTTTTTTTATGGGACAAACACTTGACAATGAACGATTACAATAAAACAGCAACCGACGCACAGAAAATTACAAAAACATATATGCCATATGCAGTAACAAGCAAAACATTTAAAGAATATTGTAAGCAAAAAGAAGAGACTAAGAAACAAAATGCCCAGGAAGTGGACAATCAAAAACTACAAAGAACTTTAAACAAACTTAAAAAAAAATTAAAAAAGACTAATAAAACAAATAAAAAGGAAAAAGTATCAACGAAAGAAAACAATAATATTTTTAGTAGAAGAAAGCGGACCAAAACTATTAGTAAAACTAAGAAGAATAAGGCAGTGATTGGTAAAAGAGATAAAAAATATTTTAACGGTGATGAATTACCTCTAGCAAACCCGCAAGATAAATATAACGTTGGTGATTGTCATTGTATGTTATATGAAAAAACCAGTATCCAGGCGTAATTAAAAAGTATGACAACCGAAGTGAGTTCTAGGTGAGTGTTATGGAGAGGCGACTCGACAGACTATGGAAAAGTTTAAGTCTTGTGAAGTTAAAACAAACTAAATAATACATCACTGAATAGAAAAAACAAGTGAATAACCTCGTATAAAACGGTATGTTAAAAAATTGATTATTATAGTAGATATTCGACAGAAACTAATATTAATTCAATTGATAAAATATTTTATTTTTATCACCTGGTCAAATGCCACATTATTCTCGAGAGGTCAAGCAGTTTTTGATTTTGTCGAGTATAGGGTTCTTTTAATAATTATAATAAGTACCCGATTTAAAAAAGAATGCCTAATGAAATGACAATCACTGACTTGTTTAACAAGCTTACTGCTTCTCAACGGGAAGAAACCGACAAAGTAATAAAAGAAATTCAAAATAGTAAAGATGATTTAGAAAAAAGAATTAAGATTACAAACAAAAAAGTAAATCTTTTACAAGACAGATATTTGTTTTTGGAAAGAAAACGGCGTAAAAATAATATTGTAATTTTTGGGCTGCAATATCAAAATCAAGATATACTAACTTATACAGTTGATACATTAAACTCTTTATTTGAATTAAATCTAACCGATCGTGATATCAAGGATGCATACTTCATTGGACGCCAGGAAAATAAAAAGGGTTTACTAGTTGAATTTATCTCCTTTTTTCAGAAACAGTGTATCTACAAAAATATTAAAAAACTACATGGTAAAAAAATTTCTGTAGTCAATGATCTTTGTCCGGAAGATAAACATAATAATAGTATCCTTATCAAACATCTAAAGATCGCCCGGAGTCAACAAAAAGAGGCAACAATTAAAGGTTTTAAACTAGTAATTGATGGAAAAGAATTTACCGCTAGTGACTTAGATGATTCGGTTGCCTCCAGTGACAGTAGCAGTGAATACGAAGCAGATACTGAAGAAGAAGACGACGATAAAGAAGTAGATACAAGTACTGCAGAAACGACTAAAAACCAAAAAATAAATAAAGGTGATACGTCAGGTGCGGGAAAGAAAAAGGAAAGTGAACGAAAAAATAAAAGAACAAGTATCAACGGAATCCGAAGAGTCACCAGAAGTGGCAAAAATAATAGAAACTCCTCGTATAAGTGATTAACATTAAACATTTTTACTAGTCGTCTTCGGCGATAGAAACATTATTTTTGCTCTCTATTTAATTTTCATCGTTTAGCCTTAATTTTATATTTAATTAAAAGACATTGTATTTGTTATTTGGGTTTCTCTTTTTTCTTGATTTTTTTTTCTCTATATTTAAAATAATTAAAATGTTGGTTAAACAAATATGTATTGGTCATCTAAATACGTGTTCTTTACTCCCGAAAATTAATGATATTAAAGAGTTGGTGCTTTCCAAGTCATATGACATTTTTTGCATTAGTGAGACGTGGCTTTCGATTTATATATCAGATGAAATGGTTCAAATTCCTGGCTATAAAATTATCAGAAGAGACAGAGGTTCAAGAGGCGGTGGTGTTTGTATTTATATTAGAGAGTGTTATACTAGCAAAGTCGTAGATTTCGTGTCCAATAGTATTATAGAACAACAATGGATTATCGTGGAAGCTTACTCATCTAAAATAATTGTAGGAGTGGTTTATAGACCGCCTAAATCTGATGTAAATAATTTTCTTGATATATTTGAAAATACATTTTCTTCAGTTCTTCTTGAATCTGACAAAATTCTATGTGTAGGCGATTTCAATATAAATCTGCTTAATAATAACAATACTTTAAAAAACTTATTGAATTCATTAGATGGTTTCGGTCTCAAACAAATTGTTGAGCAACCCACTCACTGTAGTCAGTTTTCAGAATCTCTATTAGACTTGATCATAGTAAGCAATACCTTAACATACTCAAACCCCTGTGTTCGAGATACCGTACTATCTCACCATCGTTGCACTGACACCACAATTGAACTGGAAATAATTATCCCACGGCCAATAATAAAAACGTTTCGAAATTTTTCTGAATTCTCCATTGACAGATTCGAGAATGACATGATGAGTCAAAACTGGGATTCAGTATATGAAAGTGACGATATAAATCGAAAGGTTGAAATACTGAATTCAACAATACTAAATTTATTTGATATTCACGCACCTTACAAAACTGCAAAATTCAATAAGCCATGGAAACCGTGGATTACACAAAATATTAAATTTATGATACACTTAAGAAATAAAGCTCTTGCTAAATATAGATCGACAAAAAAACAAACCCACTGGGAATACTATAAACAACTTAGAAACTTTATAACAAACGCTATTAAAAATGAAAAGAAAGCATACTATGAGCATAAATTAAAAAACTCGAATAATAAAGATAAATGGAAACTATTAAGAAATCTTCAAATTACCAAAAACAATATAAATAAAATAATCTTAGATACTGACGCCGACCAGATCAATAATCATTTTTTTAGTATTACAGGTAACAGTAAAGAACCAGATAATGAACTAATGTTGTTTTACAGTAATAATCTGAAAAGTCCCAGTATTAATTATTTTTATTTTAATACAGTTTCTGAAGAGGTAGTAGCCAGTTTTATTCTTAAAATTATTACTCGTGCTACAGGAACTGATAATATTAATATAAATTTGTTAAGAATGATGTGTCCATTTATTATTCCCTACATTACCCACATTGTAAATTTCTGTTTAACTAATTCTATATATCCTCAAAAATGGAAAGTAGGTCAGGTTCTTCCAATACCAAAGTGTAAATCTCCGTCCATTCTAAATGATCTAAGGCCCATAACGATTCTTCCTACAATTTCCAAGATTCTAGAAAGAATAATTGAATCACAATTACGAATTCACCTGCAAACCTACAACCTTCTTCCTATAATACAATCAGGATTCAGGCCCGGATATAGTTGCGGCACAGCACTTCTTAACATATCAGATGACATTTTTAGAAATTTAGATAAGAAGAAGTCAGGTGTTCTAATTCTCCTAGACTATAGTAAGGCTTTTGATACAATAAATCATAAACTACTTCTATCTATATTTCATTTTATCGGTCTCGGACGTCCTGATATCAATTTTTTTCAATCTTACCTAGATGGCAGATGCCAAAGAGTAGTATTAAACGGCACAACATCTGAATTGGGAGTGGTGAAGAGGGGTGTTGCTCAAGGGTCAATCCTTGGACCATTACTTTATACAATTTATACGAGTCATCTTACATCAATATTAAAATTTTTAAATGTACAGGGTGATTCTTTTATCATGGGAAATGAGTTTTTCTCGTAAATGGCTGCAGCAAATTGGGTTCTGTAAAAAGTATTTTATTTGGGCTGGTTATTGCTTGAAAATGGGATGGATAAGGAAGTTATAAATAAACGACGCTGGGCGTCGCGACGCTTTAAATTTTTTTTTGTCAGAAGCATACCATTTTTATTTCAGAAATTGAAAGATCTATTCAATAAAAACACTTTTTTTAAATACTATTTTTTTCCATCTAAAACCATTCAAAAATTACAGACCAGTTTTTATGTTCCAAATTTCTAGATTGCCATACAAAGAATGCATGGTATTTTAAATTTCACTAAATCAGGTAGGCTTTGAAAAAACATAATTGGCTTATATTGATTGATGTCTGAAACTGTCAGTGTAATTTCAATTATTCCTATTAAAATAGTGAGTAATAAGAAATATGTTTACACATTCAGATAAAGTTGACATGCTTCTTTTATACGGAGAAGCCCAAAAAAATGGTTTAGCTGCAAGAAGATTATATGCGGAAAAATACCCCGAACGCAACCTTCCAGACCACAAAATGTTTGCCAGGTTAGAAACTAGTTTACGTCAAAACCCTAAAGCATTTGAAGGTAGGTTTTGTGTTTTTTAATAAATCCCCATAAATTCAATGAGCCAAATTTGCAGGTAAAAGATCAAGAACAAAAACTGTCACGACGGATGAAAATGTGGCAATTATTTTAAATTATTTTAACAATCACCATGAAGCTTCTATAAGAGAGGCTTCAAGAGACTTAAATTTAAATTATAGTGTGATACAAAGAGTTTTAAAAAGCAACAAATACCATGACTATAAATTTCATAATTTGCAAGAACTTTCGCTTAGAGATTTTGAGAGGAGGAAGGATTTTATTTGTCAGTTTTTGGTGTCTTTGGATGACAATCCTAATTTATTTTCTCATATACTATGGACAGACGAAAGTCATTTTGTTAGTCATGGATTACCAAACAAAAAAAATACCCATTATTGGTCAGACGAAAACCCGCGCAAAATCAGACAACATCAAATACAGGGCCACTTTGGCATAAACGTCTGGTGCGGAATAGTCGGGCGGCACTTAGTAGGGCCATACTTTTATGAAGGCGCCTTGACGGGCCCAAGATACTTAGATTTTCTCCAAAATCACCTTCCTCTTTTGCTGGAACATGTGCCACTGCAAATCAGAAGAAACTTATGGTTTCAACTAGATGGAGCTCCTTGCCACAATGCGGTCATTGTTCAAAATTATTTGAATGAAGTCTACCACGGAAGATGGTTGGGGACACACGGGCCCTTGAAATTTCCGCCTAGATCTCCGGACTTGACACCCTTAGATTTCTTTTTATGGGGAATTTTAAAAAATATAGTGTATAAAACAAAATCTAATAATTTAGATATTTTAAAACAAAAAATTATTGATGCGTGCAATGGAATATCTGGTGATGTTTTAAGAAAAGTTACATCTTTCGAAATAAGAAAGCGGTACAATTTATGTGTGGATAACGATGGCGCATATATCGAGCAATTGTTAAAATAAGATTTGTGAATTAGCAATTAATTTTTACTAAATACAGTTCATGTTATTCTTTAATGTTTTATGTATGTTTTATGGGTTGTTAGTGTAAACTTTGATTATTTCCTAAACAATTACATAAGTGTTAT